CCCCCCCCCCCCCCCCACCCCCCCCCCCACCCCCCCCCCCACACCCACCCCCCCCCCCCCCCCCCCCCCCCCCCCCCCCCCCCCCCCCCCCCCCCCCCCCCCGCCCCCCCGCCGCAAAAATCTCGCTCTTAAGTTTGCACTCATCATCTTCTTCGAAAATATATGTGAGGTCTACAAAACTAATTAATAAAGCAAACTGATTGTAACTTTCTTCAGGTCTATGTTGTGGAACTCACATGCATTTTCGGAGAAAATAGTGAGTGTAAGTTGAATTATTAGGTTTTTGCGGCTCCTCTGTACCCCACCCTCTCCCCATTACAGGCATAAAATATAAAAAAACTAATGCTTAAATGCACTAACTAGAAACTTTTTTGGTGCAGATCGATTGCCTATGTTCGCCACTACTCACATCAGTAATAAAAATCTAGTTTCACTAATTAGTAATCATTATAATTAGGATTTAATCTCTAATTAATCATCAAAATCTGTCATTTTTTTACTATAGTCGATAGTTACGAGAGTAGCGTATATTTTTATTATTACAGAAGCTAGCAACTCGGTTATGCTACTATTGCACTCATTACTTTTACGGCCTACAATAAACAGAAGAACATTGTAATATTTCTTTTCACACAAATACTTTAATCTAGAGCTTGAATCCACTCAAGTGTATTTACAATTCGAAACTTTTCCATCCACTGGGAAGCTTTTGTTAAATTTTCGTTTATGAAAAAATGTATTAATTTCTCACCTGGTAAGACGAAAAAATATAAATTTCTCAACAATATTGATAGCTATATCCTAAATACGGTTTAAACTATTACGATTCACAATATTTCTCAATGAAACCACTAAACACTTCAGCATACTGACATATTTTAAACAAATTTTTGAACGAAATATGATCTCACCACACTGAAAAAATATAACTTCTATTTGATCAGTATCTAACTGACCGAAATATGTGAGTTCCACATTTTAGCCCTAACGGGGCTGCGCTGAAAAGCTTTCTTAAAAGGAACTCGGCAGAAAATATTAATTATGTAAAGAAACGACAGTTAAAAATTAATTTGTTATACTGGTAAATACATGAATTATAAAAAAAAAGGAATGAGATTAAAAAAACAATCTTAAGTGACTTTTAATTCGAGCAAACTAATATTCATGACAGAACTTGAACCACTCGAGTAGCATCTGAATAGTTCAATAATGGGAACGTCTATCAATTCAACCTATAGTGAAATCCAAATGTCTTTTTGTATGATTCTACACAAGAAAAAATACTATCAAATTGATTATCTTCAAAAACAAAAAACCATTTGAAAACATACATAACAATAATTATGTTGGCGTCAAGAAAAGTATGATTAAAAATCAACAGAAATCTGATTAACTAGTTTGACCAAATCGATACGTACTATTGCTTAATAATAACATACCATTACGATACGAGAGGATAACCATTTGACTAGTCCTTTGACGTATAGATTTACAGTAGTAGTAATAGAGACATCTGAAGCACATATCAAAATTACATCAAGATGAGTACTACTTTTATTTTCCCTTTGCTAATGGTAGGCAAAAAAGTATGAGTTCCCGTAGAAACTTATCTCACCTACAAACAGAAACAAAGGACGTCCGAATTTTCTTCTGTCCATCACTAAATATCGCAACTATCAAGTTATTCATCGTACATTCATGACTCTTTGATTCGAGCACAGATACCACTTAAACACAATCGATTAAAAACAATATGAATTTACTCAAGATAGAGAATGTTTCATAATCATGTAAATAATGGATCATTTTTCAAAGAAATCGAAATACTTTCTAATCACTAGAAACATGTTGAATGTCCTTAAAGTAGAACGTATTGAAGTGTGAACTCTTTTTTATCATGTGAAGTAAACAAACGAAACTTTTGAAAAATGCATATTACATTTGATTCAGACGCTCATATCAACTCTCAGCATCATCGTTCAAGATAAAAAAAATAACAACAATTCATCTATTTCATTTGCTGCCGATTGCATTCGTATATGTTCTTCTTGTCTTAAAAGCAACAAAAGTCCGATGTAGAACAAAATATGTTTGTAAATAATCAATAAAAAATTATTTATGGATAAGATTAACATGAAAGACAAGTAGCCAATTAGAAGAATAGTCACCAAGATAGACAATCATATATGTTGCTAAGGAACACCAATACTTAGGTGGATGAAAGAATGTTATCGAATAGATAATCGATGTACGTGAAATAAAATGAATTACCATTTTGGCTCGCAAATCCATTCTCTAAAGTTAAGAATAATGTAAATACCGCCTTTAAAATGAAAATTATATATTTCAACTATTCATCGGTCAAGATAAAAAATTCATAACTATTCCGTTACACCTTCTAATATATAGAATCATTGATAAATATCACCTTTTTACTGTCCGAATTCTTCCTTGCACAATAATTTATTTTTAAAAATTCAATTCACATTGATGAAGTATTGGTAACTTTTCTATCTTCAAAGATTTTTGATTCTCACTAGAAGAATTATATGATTTGCCCTCATGTCTATTCGTTTCATCTTACTTTCAAAGCGATCGGCAAAAAACCATGCAAGACAAGAAAAATAGTTTCCCAAAAAGTGTATACAATGTATCGTTGGTTGAAAATATTTTCTTCGTATGAATTAATGGATTCATAATTAAGATAACTTGAGTGGCAGTATAGAATTTTTAGTTTTAAACTGTATAACAATTGTTTTTAATATTATTCTCTGAAACAATTCTATTAATTTTCATAGAATTTCTATCTTATGGTAAGCCAAAATACGCAAAAGAACAGAAGATGAAGGTTTGCAAAAAAAAAAAAAAAAAAACGACGACCTAGGGATAAAGATAATCGGAGCGTGCACGTATCATTAGTATGCCAGTATGGTACGTGCATATTGAAAAAAAGTTCGCTTCTTTCTTATTATTCGTTTCTTCTTGTCTGTGCCGTGTCTTTTCAAACACTTTATGAATACTGAAAGTAATAACATGAATCAACCAGCAAAACGATGTCGTTTTTCTACAGTTACATCTTCGTCAACACTAAACGATTTCGTATGTATAACTCTTATGTTTTTTTACTCGTTGTTGGTGATCATGATGATGATGATCATGATTGTCGTTCGTGATCATATTGTTTGTTGTTGTTCGTCGGATGTAATTATGCAAAGAAATGAACATAAGCGAAAAGAGAAAGAAAGTGTATGTATTTGTGGAAATGATCTTGATTGACTTTTGTGACCGATCATAATCCTTATTCTAATGATGACACAATCGGAGAAATGAAAAACATAGACAACTGATTATTTTATATGATCAGTTAGTTCATTGTTCCTATTTGATATATTATTTATTTCGTATTCATTTTAATCAATGTTTGATACTTGTTCAATATTCGATAATGATTGTTGTACATGTTGTTTTATGGTATGTTCAATAAGCTATTGTATAGTTGTTGTTGTTGTTGTTTTTTTCGTTTCGAAAAACGAAATATGTTTGACATAATGATGAATCGTATCTTTTTTTTAAACATAGAATCATGATAAGAAGACAACGTGCAAGAATCATGATAATGTCAGTAGTCGCATTCTTCATTCTTTATTTTGTTTATTCTTTTTTTCAAGAAACGATATGAGAAGAGCAAGAAGGAAAAATTAGTGTTAGTCGATTAGTGAATATTTTTTTTTATGAATGTAGGCATTTTAATGCATATATATATATATGCATACGTAAGAATAAGATGATTGTTTCGTTTACTCAACAGAAAAAAAGAATAACATATCAATGTTTGTCTCGGATAGTGATCATGAAAACATCAAAGATAGAATCGTTGGTTCGTTTTCATTGCCTTTGTTTTGAAGCGAACCGATCAGTTCATCTAATGTCTGTCACACTTGAAATCCTTTTTTGTTCTATATACATAATATTCATGAATATTCTTCGTTATTTTTGTTTTTTTGGTTTTATTTATATATTTTAGTTACCATCAATGCGAACAACCAATATGGACAGAGCTACACTTAAAATTGAAATACCATTTACTGACCATGCTCATTGTATTGGACGACAAGGAAATCAAATTCAAAGTATCATGTCAGCAACTGATACACATATTCATTTTCCTGACGGAAATCGTGAACCCAATGGTACAAAATCAAATCAGGTATTGCAAAAATGATTAACTAGAAATAATAGATAGATCGTTTTAAATAGGTATCAATAACAGGAACAGTAACGTCGATTGAAGAAGCTCGAAAACGTATACGAGAAATATTGCCTATGTCATTGAAATTTCTTATTCCACCAACAGAATTAATTAATATTATTAATGATGATTATCCACTATTTAAAAATGTTCGCGAACGTTTTCGTGTTATTGTTTTGCCACGTCCCTATGCTAAAACTGGTGACGTTTATTGTATTGTTCGTGGACTGTAAGTAATATGAGGAGCAAAAAAGAAATCCTTCTATCAAAGACAATGTCATCACGTTGAAAACTATTTGTTTTAGTATTAATCAGCCAGGTTTAGCTGAAGCTACTGAATATTTAATTCAAGCATTCTATGGTTTTGAAGCGCAGTTAGTAAAAGTAACATGTCAAACAGAAGTCAGTGAACAATATCATGTTTATTTACAAACTCGTCAACAATCAAAAGATATGTGCATAGCAGCTATTGAACAGTATACTCATACAGCGATACAGTTTCCAACAACAATCAATTCAAATCTATCACAAGATAGTACAAATAATTATGGTCGTCGAACATCAGTCATAATATCAGGATCTCCAACGCAAGTTTGTCAAGCACGAAAATTATTTGATGTAAAAATGGATTCTTTCTTTTATTTTGGTTATCATACTAAGTTGTTATTTTCTTTTCAAAGCTTTGTTTACCAATTATTTTGAATTTTGAAATCTCCATCGATAAAGAACCAACTCGTGGTATGTAACATATTTATAGTTTTAGAACAAGTTGCTCGTCGTAGCAATTCAACGACAAACACCTGCCATTGTAAATAGATATGCACAGTATAGATTATTGTTGAGAAACATAGATACAATTTCGAATAATGTTAAATAAAAATTATTCAATATCAATAATAAGTACTTGATAAGTTTTAAGAAACCATCAGCTATTGTTGGTTTTGTTCTAACAAATGTTTGATTGATTCTGACGAATTGACGTGTTCAGCAGAGCTATTCTATGTCGAATTTATGCTTCGACAGTTCTGATTCTTTTTCTTTTCTCAAAAACTCATATCGACTAGAAATGACTAAATGGGTAAGTAATAATATAAAAATATTTTACATTGGCAATATACTTTGAATTTAGCAATCAAGTGATCGGTATGACACCGTTTTTTTTAATAATAGCTGAATTAAGCGGTACAACTTGTACGAGAACCGTGTTTCCTATTGCAGCTTTGCAAAGTAATAAACCTAGAAGTATTGCTAACTTTTAAATTAAACATAAAACAATATGGTTGAATCAAGTAATTCATTACAATCAGATAAAATGTCGATTTTAATGAATGTATTTCGAATTTCTCATCAAACACTATCTATGAGAAAGATCCTGTTGAGCTTAATTTTATTATTCTATATCGCTTTTTTTCATTATATTTAGCTCAAACTGCTCATATTAAAGATAAACTTAATGTAACAACAACTGTTCGAACACGCAAAGATAAAATTGGCAAAGTAAATATATACATGCATTTTGTTTTCGATTGAATCTAACCTTATCATTGTTGTTATAGTTAGTCACTGTTCAATCACAAGAATATAATTGTGAACAATTATTTCGAGCTCGAACTATCATTCTAGGTTTATCAGAACAAAATAATAATCATATTCTACCAATCAGTACAAACGGATTATTTGATCTAAGTACAGTTATTCATTCGTACAAAGAAATTTCAAGTAAAAAATACGTTATTTTTCGTTTCTTGTAGATCAAACAACGACATTTCTATCTGATCTCTCTTGTGAGCGTCATTTTTCTTTTCTCAGAGATTATTGAAAAGTTGAACAAACTCTATTTTCTAGTTCCAACAGCTTCGTCCTCATCATTATTTTTTACCTCATCTTCACCGGGAGCATCAACAAATCACATGACTGATAGTATATTAATACCTATTGAGCCTTGCTACATACCACCAACACAACACATTGATACTGTACTTGTGCCAATGTAGGCGATTCAATTTTCATTTTGTATTTTTGATTCGTTTGTTTTATTGATTGAAGTGTTGAAACAAATATGGCTAAAAAACCATCACCCATTGGTCATGAACGTTCATCATCACGAAGTAAACAGTATTCTTGTGACTTTTTTAATAACAAATTGTTGTTGTTTGTTATGAATATTTAGATCTTGATCAAGAAAGTGTTGTTTGGCCAACAAATAATGATCGAATGCCATCGGTAAGCGAATTTGATTCATAAGATTTAAGTCTCACTGTATAATTTTAGCTTTTCGTTTTTGATTCATCGACTCAACAAACTTTAAAACCGACTGAACTGAATAATTTAGAATCAATTGACAGTAAAAGATTTTGAATTATTTGATTCTAAATAAATTTTAACATTTCTATTAAGATTCATTGGTTTTTCCAATACAAGATAATTGTTCGGCAAAATTATTGACATTACTTCGTTCAATTAATTTGGAAAAATATTGGTCAACATTTGAACGTAATGAGGTATTGTACTCGTTATTATAGTTTTTTTTTATAAAGTAATAGACAATAAAACAAAATTTCGAATATATAGATCGACTATTGCACATTTCTTTCTATGACGGATCATGATTTGACTCAAATTGGTATTGAAGCTTTTGGAGCTCGTCGTCGTATGCAACAAGCTATTGCAGGTAGACTTTCAAGATAATAATATGAAACTTAGTTTCAAGTTTTAAATAATAATAATAATAATTAACAGAAACTATCACTAATTCTTGTTTTTGTTGCTAATAATTGTGATCAACATAACTTTTAACAACAATTGAATCTAGTGCGAGAGGCACGTATGAAGCCAATTCACTACGAGAACAATCATGTTAACGCTAGCTTTACATTCTCCTAAATACTTGTCGATTCAAGTAGGATATATTGATTGAAATCTTTTTTTTTGTTTAAATTTAGACCATGCTTTGGCCAATATCAATCGATATTAACAAATACAGTTATCTTAATCATAATCATAGACTCACACAAATCGCTTCAAATAATCAAACAGCTTTTGACTCAAGCATTAATCATTCATTACCATTACTTATCGACGATGCGAACAATCCTATATCTTATTATTTACCATTATTTTCGCTTTTGCCTATTTAATCATTCTTATTCGTTGTGTAGATACATGATAGAGAATGTTTCTTCTTCTTTTTTGTCTTTTTTTGTCTTTTTGTTTTAAAAATGTATATAGAAATCCTCGATTCTGTCTTTCATTTAATCGGGAAAAAAAGATTTAGTTAATCAGAAGAAGATGCGTCTTTTTCAATGAAAGATGAATGAAGTTTTTTCAATGATATATTCTCATGTTTTGATGGTATATAAAAATGAATATAAGTTTGATCATCGAATAGTTCATTGTTTTGAGGAATATCAGGTAGAATTCTAAATGAAACAATACAAAGTAATATCCATTAGACAACATCTGGCTATTTTTATGAAAAGTTTGAACTGACATTTTTTTAATATTACCAATAGTCGTATGTGTAAATAAATTACTTGCGACTAGATTATGTTCAGTCGATGGAATATATTTTGGACAACCTGGTTTATGTCGATGAATTTGTTCAGATGAGAGAGTTTTTATAGAATTTTGTGAGAACTGTTGTGACGTAAGTAAAGGTGTTTCAGATTTGATTTCATTGTTATTTGAAAACAATCTCTCTTTGGAAAATGTTTGTTTTGTATTCAACGGTAATGTTATTGTTTGATCTAAAAAATTTAAACAGTAGATTTTTGCTTGGAATTGTTTGTTATTGCTATTTACATATCGTTCTTTTCAGAATTTTTAAGTTTTATTTCATATAATTAGATTTCTAGTGAATATTAAAAATGATTCTCACCATCTGTAATATTTTCTCATCTTAACTGTTAGCTCTAATATGTATAGAATGAAAGAGAGATATATAAAGAGCGAAAGAGACAAGCAGTGTCTCACTGATGTTATGTGACAGAACAAAGAAAAATATGACCTTCATAGGGATCGAACCCATACCTTCTGCTATCCGCGCAGATGTCCTATCAGATAGACTAGAAGAACGTATTAATCTTCGTTTAGCGTTAGTGTGATCCATCACTAACGCTAACATTAACATTTAGCCAACTTTGTTTTTTAACTAATTTGTTTCTGTTATTCACTTGCGACTGAAGTATTTCAATAGAACTTTATAAATATCTTGTTAGGATTTATATGCGAGCATCCCAACTCAACTATGTGAGTCTATTTCATGAAATAATTTTAAAAAAAGTCGATGAGCAACTTCCCCGGTCGAAGAAAACGATCAGTAAACGTTCGTATACAATACAAATACGACCCGTTTTACGTGCCGTATTTTCCCCGTATAACAGGGGCAGTAATACGGCCGTATGTTTTATAGAATACGATAGTATTACGCCGGCTTTACGAGGTTTTACGGCTGATATACGGTGTCCGTGTATGACCGTAATACTGCTCCTGTTAAAACACCTTAATACGGCTTAAAATGGCCGTTTTACGACGGAATGTGATGCAAAAACGACCGTTTATGGTAATGTTACGCCGGTTTACGGTGGTCCGTTTGGATCGACCTGAGCTGTGCTTCGCTCGAAGCAAAACTAGAATAGCTCAACCAGTGAATTCCTTTTACATATCCATGAATTTTTCAGTGAGAATTAAATGAGGGAAAAGCAAAAAAGTTATTTAAATAAACATACTTTCTGGTTTAATTTGAACAATACGCTTTTTATTCGATCTTTTCGTTGTTAAACATAAAATGATGGATATAATAAATAATAGACTAGTAAATATGATAAGAACCACTATCAATATATCTATTAGATCCCATTGATCTATGAATAATAATTTCTACAGTTGAATACGAAAGACAAGTTTTTTTTCTTATTTACTTAATCTTGAGAATATAACTGTTGAAGAATTACCATCTAAAGAAAAAAAAAATATTAAATTCGATTGACTAATATAAAAAATAAAATATTACTTTTAGCATGAACATTAATTCGACATATTCGATTCATATCTTGAAATAGATCTTCATTCTTCGACGTATCAGGTATAACAATGCAACCATATTCTCGATTATTTCCTTCTTTATTCATTGATTTTATTGTGTAGGCAATTGAACGTTTCCAATTCAACGTCGAATTATCATCTATTTTGAAATCTTGTATTTCATTCAAATAGTTTTGATCAATAATTTCATATGTCGAATTATTTTCTCGGATAAAAAAGGTAAAATTTATCATTGGGTGAAAATTATCTAAATCTTCATAATTTAAAAATTCATATTCAATGGTGCATGCTATTTCAATTGATTCATGTATGTTGACAGTTAAATTTGTTGTACAATTCACTATTTATTTAAGAAAAGCTTTATTTCATCATGAGAACCGATTATAGGCCTTACGTGTTCTAGTAGAAATTCGAATCAATCGATATATATCATGAATAATATCATCATGTTGACTCAAACCTGATTCTATATGTAAATTAATCTCGGTATGAAGAAGATTATCATCGTTTGTGTTGATTAATGTCAATTCCCCACTCTTTGAATCAATAGTATAGGAATTATTTTTATAAGAGTTAAGAATAAATCGGTTTTCCATCGAATCATATCGTGCAATTTCTGTATATTGATTTAAATAATTGTTATTTGATGATAAGTCCCGTGTTAACCATGTTGTATGATTACATACGAAAGATTTTGACTGATTGATAGAAATAATTGATGATGATGAAAATAAAGAATCAATCAATGCAAAATTTGGTGTATCAAAGATAATATTTTGACCATTGTCATATGATTTAGTGTAACGATTGAGATCTAGACAAAATATATTAATCATCTAGTTAAAAGGGTTTTTTTTTCTTCGTTTAATGATTGATTTTAAATATTACTCTGTGGAGACGAGCTATGTGTATCGCGTTTGATTAAGTTAGCAAAGTGTTTCTCTTGATCATGTAGTTGTACAACATGAAAATTCTAAATAAATCAAATGAGGCTTTTGTCCATTTCATATGAATCTATAGCTACTTGTAAAATCAATAATAAAATCAGAACGATTTGCATATTGTATGAAATTCTTGGCGCTCTACTTTCATTGTTAATTTAAACATTTGAATATAAAAAAACATGAATAAGTCTGATGATAATGAAAGACTAGAAGAAGAAGAAGAAGAAGAGCTTAGTTCTGTTGGTCAAGAGGAGACTAATAATCAAACAGTTCAACAATCAAATGATGACGAAAGTAAACTTCAACATGATTTAGCTAATGAACTTAAACATACTCTGAAAATTCCTATTACTGATGAACCTCCTAACATTGGTCCAACGCCATATAAAGTGGCTATTGTTGGAATGAATGAATTAGGATCAGCTACAGCTTTTTTATTAATTTGTAGACAAATTGTAACTGATATTATTATTATTGATAAAAATTCGAAAAAATTAGCTGGTATAGACAATTGTTTTTGTTTTGTAGATAAAGTCATTGGCTTTTCTCTTATTGTTTTTTTTTCTAAATTTTAGCTGAATATGCTGATTTAAGCACTTGTACAACATTTGTCTCAGGTGTCAATATACAAGCTAGTAATCAGTTAGCATCGTGTGAAGGTGCTCGTGTAGTTATTCTGTGTGGCGTAAGTGATGATGATGATGATCATGAAAAACAGCAGAAATCAAATACTGTGCAATCATCGAATCCACATGAAAATCTTTTGTCCAATTTCAAAATAACGTCGAGAGCTATTAGTCACTATGGTGCGTAGCCAAGTTAATTACGAGAAATATTGATTCTTAAATGCCGATTTATTATGTTTTTCTTCTCGATTTTTCATTAACTATAACGTTAAAAGTTACAGTAATGAGAGTACGGTTGTTAGCGGTGAAATAAACAACATATGAAGTTATTTTATTTGGCTTCAAATCAACAAATATTATTTTGTATGAGGGAAATTTATTTTTAAAAAATACGAACAAGTTTGAATAATCGTATTTACAGGAATATTTCCCATGCCTACTGGAATACTTATCATGCTTCTTTAATATGAATAAGTTGCCAAGAATGATATTAACGTGCGGTTCTTTCTGTAAACCATTCACTGATTTATGAATCCATTAAAAATCCGTCACTTTTGTTACTTCGCTTTGCCTTTTGACATGGATCGAAGGAATATCGATTTAACTGCGTACTTCTGCATATTAAAATAACATCATAGAAGAAAATTTTGAAGCTATATAACCGTATAATGACGGCAAAAGTCGAAATTGTATTTATCGAATGTTATTCGTATGTTAAAATAATAATCACCAGATTGAGATATCGTGACAAGTATCTGAATTTGAATAAATACTTACATAGTAAGATAAATAAAATACAAAATAGAAATTAAGAAATCGAATTAACACGATTATTGTCAACAAGTCGACAAAACAGAATAAATTTTGCTTGTAAAGCTTGTAATTATGTAGAAAATTTTTATAAGAATAACTACTGCACGATAGCCTGAGCATGACGAAAATATTCATAAAAGAATATTTGAAATTGAAAATTAACTGTATGCCTTCTAAAAGTAGAAATAGAAAGTTTCGATTGATTACACTTGACATATATTATGTAACGTGTTGAAGTAACTTGTAGATGTATTTAATAGCACATCTCATGAGAGGGAGAGAGAGAAAAAACAAATAGGAAATTGTTGCTTAGCTAAAAGATGGTGCAAGTGATAATTCTACTGTTTAAGATTTATTTTTATTTTTCAGCCTCAGATTGTGTTATGATTATTGCTGTACAACCATTTGAAGTTATGACTCAATTATGTGCTGCTAATTCTATGATACCATCCTATCGTATTATTGCACCAGGAACAATGATTGATTCAGCTCACTTCAGGTTCAACATTGATTTCTCTATGTTGTTTTTTTCGATCTATTTGGTTTTTCCTATTCGTAAAATTTTGTTGAAAATAGATTATTAATCAGTGAAAAATTGGACATATCACCAGCGAGTATAACTGGAATAATGATTGGTGGCCATGGACAAAATAATCTTCCATTGTGGAATTCGATTACTGTTGGTGGTATACATTTACTTTCAGAAAATACATCGATCGGAACATCTCATGATAAAGAAAACTGGCATCAACTACATAGAAATGCCAACCAAAGACAAGAAGACATTATTAAAATAAAAGGTAGAGCACTCGTTTTATTAGTTTTTTTTTTCTAAAATTACTTCTGTTAAAGGAACGGAAGTATGGTCAATATCAATGGCTTCAAGCGAACTTGTTGAATGTATACTTCGCAATAAACGTGAAATCCATACAGTTACTGTTAATATTAAGGATCATTATGGTGTTAAAACTGATCTTTTTCTTTCAATTCCAGCTATTATTAGTCAAAATGGTGTATCTCATTTGATAACAATGAACTTAGCTAATCATCAGAATGAAAATGAATTTGCGTCTATAATTCAAAATATAGAAACGACGGTAAAAGAAAAACTAAAGAACATTTAAATCAAATAAAGCAATGTTCCACAGAAAAATACTGTCATCTCAATATTAAGAGTTATGACTTCTAAATTTCATTTTACATGACTTCCTTCATTTTCCTGACTGATGATGTTGGATTATTATTGATAAATTGCCGAGTAAGCACAAAATGTCTGTTAAATAAAAACCCAACGCAAAACAAGTTTGAATAAGCTCTTATGATTCTGATTGAAGATGAAAAAGATGATAGATTTATTGTAGAACTAACTTTATTCATTTTTATGTAATATCAAAAGCTCACTTTTCTTAGGAAAACCTATTTCTCACTGAGTCATATAACGCTATGTCAGATAAATACAGATGGTCAATTATAATTATTACCACCCCCGCATCTCTTATGCCTATGTGCGTTATGATTCTCCATTGATGTACGATGTAAATAAGAAATGTGTAGGCCTCCGTTCTCAATTCTACTTTTTTTTATTAGAGTCTCTTGGTAATAGAAATAATGGGTACAAGCTTCAATGAACAAGAGGAAAAAAGGGCATGTTTTTTTTTATGACACAGTCCTGTTTTCTCTGATTTTTCTCTCGACTTGTTTCTTCTCTTCTTTCTCTGTCTCTCTCGAAAAAAATCTCCGCAGTTGTATAAATAGATATATACCAATGCAGCAAATAGTCAATTCTACTTCACCTGTATGAATAGTATGTGTTGCCACAGTTTTATTTCTTCTGTCTCATCAACATTTCGCGTGTTTCTTTTTCATTTTTTTATTGCATTCATTTGTTTCATCGTTGTCAAGTGTATGTAAGATAAATATATATATATTTTTTCATTTAAATTGCGTTGTAGATTGATTTTCTCCTCTTATATTCATCTTTCTTTACTTTTCTTACCTTAATCATTTGTAACTAAAACAAAGATTCACGATGACGAAATTTTTAACATTATGCACACGAATTGACTTCGTCTTAATTGTAATCGTACTTATGTCGGCAATTGAATTGTCTCAAGCAACACCATCTCGTAGTTTTGATGAAATAAGCATGTCTCCTGGTAATGATGGTGATACTGATGATGATGATGATGATAATTCTAGTTTACAAGAACAAGAACGAATACATGACTTGAACAATAGATTAAAATATTTTCTTTTAACATCCAATTCTGAGCAACGCGCCGCAAGACGTAAACAACAGGATTTGTTAAAACGAGAGCTGGTAAATAGAATATACTTATTTGTTTAAATATTATCTGAAAATTTCGCTTTTTCTTTCCTATCATATTCAGGTCCGTGAATATCTTCGATCAGCATCTGATTCCGATACCGGCCGATTACAAGAGATAAAAAGTAAGCAATCATTTTTTAAATTTTCTTATTACAGTTATTACTTCAAATGCAAATGCTATTCATTTCTTCTATCTCGCTTATTGAAAATTTCATATAAAAATGCATGTTTGCTTATTTACAAATTTCACTAATTTTTTACAACGCACTATATTATTTAGGATACTTCACATATTGTAGCATTCAAGATGTTTTGCGTGGAACTCTTTGTCGGCGACGCTTTACTAACAACTGAACATTTTTTCTACATCTAGTTTATGCACGAATTATGCCAACATTTTGAACGAAAATTTTGTTTGCTTCTAATTTACTTAGATTCCCACTTCTTTTTCTCTCATATATTATATATTGCTTTGTCCCTCACTTGAATGCATGACTCTAAAAACAATGAAATATGTAATTTATCGAGTAAATCAAAATCGATTGTGAATGAATTAACAGTATTGAAATGCGAGTTTTTCTTCTTCTAATATTAGTGTTTATTTTTACTCTTATTACTAACACAACATTTATTGCTTAATGAAGTAATGCTGGTTCATACTCTGTTTAGTTTTTAAGAAAAGGGATGATTCTTATTTAACACGTTCGTATGTACAAGTTCAAGATGATAATAAAAAATCTCTCTGCCATATAAGAAAAGAAATATCTGAGTGGCGAATCATATCAACAAATTATTTATAAAATACAAAAGCAAAACATTTTTCTTTTCTCTTTGATTAAATGTTTTAACCAATTGCCTAATAATACTATTTATTTGATTTTCCAATACTAATCAAAGATAACATCTATCCGTGTATGTTATTCTAGAACGTTTCAAGACCTACTGTAACTCTTATGAAGATCTAATGAATTCAAATTGGGCAGCATGCGGTTAAGATCACATCAGTTCCAACAGTTTCAACATCACCAGCACTGTGCATTTAAACATACATATACATGTCACCGGTTTTAATGTTTTTTTGCCGTACTATACTAATATCTTCTTTCTATTTTCTTCCTTTTTCTAACTCACGTCTGTGTGTTAACATATATATTTGATCGTATAGTTCTTAATTCTTTTAACTCCTATTTATAATATCTAACATTTTTATTCGTTATAATCGATCAATGATATGGAAAGAAATGGTACCACTCAACAATAAACCATTTTGTCCCTTGCTATCGAACCTACACTCATTTATATATATATATATATATATACTGCAATACCTATTCGAAACAGACCATTTTTTATGCAATATTATTCACATTAATACGCGTGCCATTTTTGTGTTGTTTTTTTCTCTCTCACTATTTTATTACTGTTATTCATCTGTTCTAATTACACTTCGACGTATGCTGAAGGAATTTAACTTGGGATTAGTGGAGAAAAACGAAGAAATCTGAATATTAATTAGGTTTTCTTTCCAAAAAAATCTTTTCTTGTTCTTACTTTAATTATTGAAATTTTATTTTATTGCTATTTTTCTTCTTCTTCTTGCAGAACGTTTTTGTGCTAGCTTCGACGAATTCTACGCTACTCAAGCAGCATGTCTTGGTTGAGATAGCAAATGAAAATGTTATTCATGCGGCATTCATACATATAATTCGTTTTTTCTTTTCTTCTTTCCCTCTATCTACTTTTTTAAATTGTTATTCCTATCTTTATTTTAAAAAAAGAAAATTAAACTACATATATCATTCAAAGCATTTATTATTATTATTTTTATTAATATTAAAATCGGGTAGTAGACACGTCTGAAAGTCGTTTGACATATAGTTTTGGACTTGCTGCTATAACTTCAATTGCTGCTGAATCCAAATCAAATGTATCGCCTCCATCGATTGTCGATAAAGTTTGCATGCTAAGTTGTTTTGGATCATTCTTATTTGCATAACGTATTGATAGTTGGCGGTGTTCATCTCGAGCGGGACCCCATTGAGCATGAGGCAAACGAGCTTCTTTAATAATCTATAAGAAAATAAAAATCGTACGAGTATTTCTACCGTAAAAGATTCGAAACATTCTTAACATACACCCCATGTTCCACGACGACATATTTCAACTGTAAAAATATATGGGAGCCACCCGAGACATGCTATTACTACAATCCAGCCAAGTGCAAGGGCCCATGATGGATATGCATAATCATCAAGTGTTACTTCTTGGTAGAATAGAGAAGAAAAGACAATTGTAAACTGCAAATGAAAACAGATGTCAACATAAACATATGTGGCAAAAATTTCATGCATGAATTGATGAAAAGGAAAAATAATTACAATAAGAATAAGTGGCGAAATATATTGCCAACAGATTTTCCAGAATTTACCAGGACGTCGATTTTCACCTATCATTAATGCAATATCATCACAAAAGTTCTCAACACCTAAAAACAATGTATAATGAAAGATCAAACAAGAAGTTACTCTCTCTCTCTCTCTCTCTCTCTACCATAAACCCATGCAATACAAAATAATTCAACAACACCAATAATTAACCAAGGAAATCCACCGAGATACTGATCAATTATATTCAATATATATAAACCTCCCTAATATATCATAAAATAGATATCGAAGTTTTTTTTTCAGTACTACGAAGAAGAAAAAACAGCATACTCGTGTAACCATAGATAAACCAAGAAGAAAAAAGACAAGTGATATACAAAATCGAAAGATAATAATTTTTTTTGGTGTATTTAAATATGTTTTAAATTCATCTATTATGCTAGCCATAATGGTTTCCATAATAGAAAACTAAATTGCATAATTTTAGAAAAATATGTTAATTTTTCTACAAAACAAACTTCAGAACCAAAGCCAAGTGTGCACATCATTAAAAAGAATAGAACACACCACAAAGGTGCAAATGGCATCATCGATAAGCCTTCGGGAAAGACAACAAATGCCAGACCAGGACCTTGAGAATCAAAATAAGCTGAAAATAACAAGTAAACCTAAAATATCTACTAGCCTCCTTTGGCAACATCAGCAACACTAACACCCATTTTCGTTGCCATGTGACCTTAAAATTAAATCTATCGATTGATTAATCTTTTTTTCAAGTTAAATTCATACCAAGTACGGTAAAAATTGCAAATCCACCAAAAATACTTGTAAACCATGTCACTAAACAAATGGAAATTGTATCACTAAATAGAAGAGAAGAAAAAAACAGAGCTAAATTAATTTTTCATTTCGTAGCAACAAATTATTTCTACCGATAAACATTATTATTAAAATTATTGAATGATGACATTGCAATGAGACCACCACTACAACAACTCAATGCATAGAAAACTTGTGTACATGCTTCTTTCCATACCTCAATATAACGAATACGGTAATCTTCTTTAAAACAAAATTAACAAATTTTTTTTTATGAATCTTACAGACGGATTTTTAAGTACACTCAAATTCACAGTTCCCATATAAAATTTCACGCCTTCAATAGCACCGCTTAATGTTGCTCCACGAATAATTAAAACAGTTAACATGACATATGGAAATAAAGCCGTGAAATACGCAATCTATGTTCGTGGAAAAAAAATTTGTTTTCGTTGTATTGATTTTGCCAAAACAACAAAAAAGCAAAATTACTTTGCCTAAAGATTGGACACCTTTTGATAATGCCAAAAAGCAAATAAGCCAAGCTACTGCCAAAGCAACAGCTAAATGAGTAACGATTCCATCGAGATTTTCTACTCCGTTAGTAATCTGAAGTACTCGACGACTGAAATTGAAGAATAAAAAATATATAGAAAACGAACTATTTCGAAAAGATGATTTTACTAGAAATATTCTTCACTCGGTGATGTTGTCATATCTAAACATGAATATTTGAAATGATTAATAATTGCAGATTTAAAAAGAAATAATAGTAGCTTATTACTTTTCATTAAATCAAGATCAATTCGAGAAAGATTTGCTAATGTTCTTTGATCAGTACATAAAGGTGTATTCCACCAGTTACCACATGTTGACCATGGAACAACAAGTTGAAATGATGCAATTAAATAATAGAAACAATAAGCAATCAATACATTGTAATAAAGAGCTAAAAAACAATTTGTCGCTAATGATGCATAACCAATGCCTACAAGAACAAATACGAAATCATGCTATTTAAATCGAGAGATAATAAACGAAAAACAAATATTTCTATATGGATGGCTATAACATCTTCACTACTAAAGAATGTCAACTGATAACCAAGGAACGTAATGATTTGAAAATTGAAGGTTAAAATAAGGTAATCAATAAAATATAATCATTTTTTTTTCTGTCTACTTAATCCTTTTCTTCAAATTCATTTTATTGTTTCTATTATGTAGGATTTGATTGAGGTAGTTGCACTTGTAAGGGTCAATTTGACTTTCGATACAATGCATTTTATCATTATAGAAACATGTCTAGTTAAAGTATAACTTGATTCCGTGGCAATTCGTATTATGATAATTTAAATTTAAATATTTGATTTCTCTCCTCTATGGAGTTCGTAAAAAAATAGCCAGCAAACCTCGTAATAATGGATTCACTCTCCATACAACAAGTGGGCCAGCACTAGTAAATTGTCCTAATGTTAATTCAAGATAGAAGACAGGTGCACCAATAAAAATCAGCATAAATGTATACGGAATAAGAAATGCACCTAGAATATGACATTTCTATATATCTATGTCGGCGAGGTAAAATATGTCTCTACTCACCACCACCATTCTTAAAGCAAAGATATGGAAAACGCCAAACATTACCCAAACCAACAGCTAAAATAAAATATATAAAAATCGATGTTTAAATTTACATTCATGAAATCTGATCATGCTTACCAAATGCAACTAATGTTAAAAAGAATTCGACAGGATTCGTCCATTGTTTACGCTATGTATCGTAATTAAATCGTCAATTAAAATCGTTTTATTATTCATATGATCTATTTACTAACCTCTGGTGGAGACAATTCAGGGGCACCCATTTATTATATTGAAGAGTGTTGTTATTGTGTTTGCAAAAGAAAGAGATATATGAGAGAGAGAGAGAGAGTTGTGCCTACTTATGTATGAATAATCATAGAAGATAAAGAAATTTCACTAGATTATATTTTTTTAAACAGACAAATGTCAAGGAGAGAGAATGCTAGTTTAGATTATTTACCCAAGGGCATATTATAGCTTGAATTTGAAAATGGTACTCTAAACAATGATAAATGCAATCTACTCAAATGGCAACGATCAAAAGCAAAATGACCATAGTCTTATGATTATTACTATAAACAATCAGAAGGAGAACATGCAAAAAAAAAACATAGATAGTAAAATGTCACAATCCCGCTCAATTGACAATGTATATTTGTCAACAGATGCCGGACGAATATGGTTTAAATACCATGCTTGTATACATAAATATTTCGATTTCAAATGATTTTCATCAATTATAATATTAACTTCTGTTAAATTTTCTCACGTAAAAATGTAATATAATGAACTTTAGACAAATATCATTTGAATAAATTCTATACCATTGATTGATAGTAATAGAGAGAGAGAGAGAGAGAGAGAGAGAGAGAGAGACCGCCGATAGTTTTGATTCGTTAAAAATCAACTGTTCATTTCATTTATTTCTAAGTATATTAAAAAAAAAGAACTATGTATTCACCTATAAAACGTCTTCGAACTAATGAAAATCAAGATGACTTTGATCATGGAATGGAGGTGTGAGTATGGATGCTTGTAACACTATGGACAACGATAAGAAGGTAGGCATGATAATGACCGATGGTTGGCCAGGATTTGAGTTTCTGAACCTTATCTGCCCCATCCTTGAATAAATAGCACGAAGGAAATCTGCGCAATGAACTGAATTTTTTTCTGTTATTTTATTGATTGTATTATCGTCTTCACAATACTATTATACAATTAATGACTGTAAAATAAAAGTTGAATAATAGTGATTTATTAAAGTTTTAAATGCACAAGTTAGATGTTGTTTCTGGTCGATTTGTCATCATCACAAAGTTTTTTGGCACTCTGCATCGATGACTCTTCATTCTTTTGTTTATGTTTTTCTTTATCACCGTCGTCAACTGCAACAAAAAAATGTATTAAATTCTACTAATGCAGTAAAATTACTCACGTTGAGTCATATGATTTGAAATGCAAGACTTCAATGGCATGTTGTTGACTTTCAGTTGACAGAGCAAATGAAAATTCTTTAAATTTATTTTCAATTTGTTAGCAGTTGTTGTATTGCTGGATACATTAAGAAACTGATCTGTTTCAGAATCGTAAAATGGTACTAACGGTATATGTTTAGCCTGAGTTAAGATTGGCTCATTGACAACACATACTTGGACGCTGCAAGAAAAAAGTTGTTGATTCATTCTGTACACCATGAAAATGTAAAATCCATGAAACTGTTGCAGTTAATCATATGGAGACTGTTTTATTCTGTATATCTCGCAACACATTTCTTCAGAAGTACTTTTTTTTATGCTCCGATATACAATACGGAAGTAGTTCATACATGATAACGAAATTCTATCGATATACGATCTTTAACCGAATATCAACGGGCATTTATCACGGTCTATGCGTATCATCGATTAATGTCTGCATTGAAATCTGACACGCAAAAGTAGAAGAGTGAAGTTAAAATTACTTGTCAGTTGGGTTACCATATAGTTAGTAGCGGATCTATACGAGGCTCCTGGCCTCGGATTCGTCCTATATTTCCTATATTGAAAAAAATTCCTATTTTTCCTCCTATATTTCGATGAATTTTCCTGTATTTACTATAAAAATGAAAAAAAAGCTCTTGTTTTAGTATAATTGTCGTGTTTTTTAAACAAATCTATTCGATAATTATTGATTCTTTTGCATTCTTAGAATTTTTTTACAGGGACTCTATTTTGTTTACAATTTCTTTTCACATTATCAAACGGGCTAAATGAAAATAACTGACTATTTTAAGTAAAGATATTCAAACACAGTAAAATAGTCTTTATAAATAGTTGTGTTTTTTAAAAGATTTTATTGTTGCCTATCATATGCAGTTACGTAAATGGTTTTGTTCAAGCGTAACGCTGCGACCTTTTCTTTTGGCACACTTTGTTTTTCGTTATCTTGGAAATTATGTGAGTTAGAAAGTTTGTTCAAACGTGATTTGATGCAACTGGTCATGATATGTTTATGCCATAAAATGACTATTTTTGGATTAGGTCTCTTGGTTATAGAGAGGAGTTTTGGTTGCTTGACTGTGACATAAAAAGACCCTTTTCTTCAGGGCCACTAATAAGCTGCAGTTTCTTCTGCAACTATTTTTCCAAATGAAACACTTCTCGAGTTAGTTTTGTAGGGCTTTTTGACCAGGCTTTAAAACACTAAAATCGTTTTCTCCAAGCTATTTTTGCTTAGATAAAAAATGCAAGGAAACAGCGTGACATTTTTAGTAACACTGAGGTACAGTTTTCCTTCACCAATTTTGGAGCACTTAACATGATTAGAGTGATTTGATTTTTATTAGTAATAGTCTTTTCTTTGTAACTAACCGTTATACACAAAAACGAAATTGATACATCTGTATCTAAGCTCATAAATGGTAAATTGAGTTAGAAAGTGTATAAGAGTTTACATTGTCCTTAGCTGCGAAAGTCAAAATAAAATAGGCCAGCTTGTAGAGACTGAAATTCTACAACTAACGACCTGTCATTGATATTTTTTGAAAACGTTTCTTGGTTAAAAAACTCAAAATGCGATTTTTGAAAATTTTCATACTCGGTGTGAATATAGGTTGATGTGACTATAAACACAATACAAACCATTACCCACACCGTGATTTATTTTGTATCAGTTTATTAATATGTAAATAAACATATTTCGATTGGATTTAATTGTGTCTGACTCATTTAATTTAATTTAATTTAAGAAAGAAAATGAAATATTGACAAAAATTTCGTGTATATGTTAAGTTGATGCAGGAAAAATTTAAAACAAAGCTTAATTCGAATCTAAACAACGAATTTTCAATATCCTATTTTTTTCTGTTTTTTTTATACCTTTTCCTGTCTTTTTAAAACGTTTGATCCTGTGCTAATTTCCACATTTTCAAAAACTTGCAATCAGAGGCCAGATCAACCATAATATTTGACAAAGTGATTATTAACACAAACGATGACTAATATTAAACATCACAATAGAGAAAAACAGTGTACAAGTGTCATATAGTTTTACGTATTTCAGTAGATCAGTAATCTTTATATAAAGAAAGATATATATATATATATATATACGGTAATTTATATAAATTTACATTATTAAACTTCAAATTTTGTTTTTTTCGAATATGTTTGAAAATTTTGTTTTTTAATTTAAATAATAATTTGTTGATGCTGATAACCATGATATAAAAAGACCAGCACACGTTTATATATATGAATTAATTTAGCACCCCAATTGAATAATGACCAAGATCTATGTTGTTCACCATTATTCTATAGAAAATAGAGCAAAATTTTAATTACTTTTCTGTTATATTTATGAAAACTCTGTTTTTAGATTAAAAAAAGAAGATAGTTTCCTCATTAAATAAATAAAATACTATCAATAGTTGATTAATTCCAAAATGTCATCTCTTAGATGTTGTTGTTTGTCTATAATTATTTCATTAGATTTTGGATTTCTAATAAAAATTTTAAAGAAAAATATTTCAATTTGACTTTCTTTTTATAGAAAAGTCTCATTATGCTTAGAATGAACTAGAAATTTCAATGAAAATAGGTTTGTCTTTTTCTGAAATGAAAGCATGCAAAAATGAAAAAAACTGATAAAGAGATAAATTACATTTCAACGAAATATTGTAGTGTATTATAAGAATTATAAGACATTTTTATGAGCAAAAACTCAAATCTAAATATTTCTTTTCATAATTTTTAAAAATATTTTCAAGAATTCTATAACCTAGTAATATTACTATACCTCGGTCAGAAAGATGCTTCAAGATCAAGCATGCTGAACTTTTCTAGCATGGACTGAATTTTCACAAGTCATTTTTCTAGCTATTTCAATCGTTGTCATTCAGGTCTATGGTTATGAATCACCGGAAACTAGCGTAATTTTACCGTACACGGCGTTTTTGTACTGTAGTCCAACTTCTTGAGGGTGTATAAGCACCGTATTTTTTGACTTGGATAGTACGAATATTTGAATCAGATGTTTTCTTTTTGCAAGCTTAATCTTTAATTTCATGAATGATGTCTTTTTCTATTCTCATCTCGAACTATCAATTTCCGTGACCGTATTACTAATTTTCTACAATGTGAAAGGAGTAATGTATCATGAATTAAAATATAAGCCAATATGTCCTTATCAAGAAATCTTAATCGAAAAATTGTTCGCACAAAATAATCTGACCATAATAGAAAGAAAATATTTTATTTGCGACAGAAATTACCTGCGTCTTGCCCTCTGAGAGCGATTTATCAACAAGATAATTGTATGTACAATAAGTGACTACATATGATATTATAAAGAATACCAATAGGAACAACACGCCAAAGCAAATTACGATAATGCCACATAGAATGTCCGAATGATTGTGTGTACTTGTTAAACCATATTTCTGTATAAGAAAAATAATAGAAAATAATTTATTATTGGCATAATTTCGAAATAAATTTTCCGTAATAATTTTTCATGATAATCACGAAGATTTTTTGGCTCTTATTATTTCTCTTTGTTTCTACACAGATAAAATTCTCTGGTTATTATTCGCTTCACTATTCGCATATAGTTTTAATAAACATGATCTTTAAGTTCACAGTTATTAAACTAAAAACTTGTATACTTTTAACACTTGAATTTGTTATTTCTACTTATAGATTATATTGCGGAGTTTTGAGTATCTATTGTTCTACTCGGATTTTAAAATTAAGCATTCAAGAAAATATTTAATATATCTTAGATAATTCTGTTTTAAAAA